CCACTGGGGAGACAATGGCGGCCGGGCGTGGTGTTGGCTACCCACCCCCTCGTGTGTCGTGTCGGCCTTCATAGGTGCTCGCTAACAGCACTTGCCCCAACAGTCTGTTAAGGTTATACTATGAAATCTTTGTCTTGTTTGTACTTGCGTGACTTTATAATTTTGTATGTGTGCGCGTGCGTGTGTGCATACAATGTGTGCCCTATGTTCGTGTGCGTGTGTGTTTACATTTGTGTGTTTGTGAATGTGTGCGTGTTTGTGCGTCTTAAGTGTTTACGAACAAAACTTGCCCCAACAGTCTGTTAAGGCTATACGGGGGATTTTTGTTCTTTGTGTGTGCGTGTGCACGTGTGCACAGTGAGGAGCGGTGGTGCAGTGGTTAGCGCACCACTGCATGCCGAACACGGCGACCCGAGTTCGAGTCCAGCGCACGGTCAACATCGGTGCCGAATATTCAAACTGGTCCTGGGCCCCCCGTAGATCGACTCAGCCTTAAAAGATGTGAAAAAATCACGGGAGTGGTGATGGCCAACCACCCCCTTCCTGTGCGATACTGGCCTTCATAGTTGCTACGCTAAGAGCACTTGCTCTTAAAGTCTGCTTAAGGCTATATGGGTCATCTTTGGTGTGTGCATATGTACGTGATGTGTTCATTATTATAAGTCTGGCTAACCCACTTCACGATAAGGATATCCATGTGCGTTTGGATAGCCGTGTTGCCAAAGAATTCGGAATCTTTATTTCACGAATGTCAATGTTTAAAGACCGTACACACACACACGGTGATGCGTGCATTGAGTTTCCTATATAGGACGTGCAGCCTCTATGCCGGTATCTTATTGTATACAACAAAGACAAATATCCCCCGTATAGCCTTAACAGACTGTAGGGGCAAGTGCTGTTAGCGAGCTCCTATAAAGGCCGGCACGGCTCACGAGGGGGTCGGTGGCCAACACCACGTCCGGCCGCCTTTGTCTCCCCAGTGGCGATGTTTACACACCGCACCAGACACTAATTTGAGGCTGAATCGACCTAGGGGAGGCCCAGGACCGGTTCAGATAATCGTCACTGGTGTTGGCCGTGAGCGGAAATCGAACCAGAGTCGCTGGGTTCATAGCGCAGCGTAGCGCTAACCGCTACACTACCGCTCCCCACTATACACACAGACACACACACACAGACACCCACACATAGACACACACACAGACAAAGATCCCCCGTAAAGCCTTAACAGACTGTAGGGGCAAGTGCTGTTAGCGAGCACCTACACATAGACACACACACACAGACACACATAGACATGCGCGCGCGCGGAGAATTATCGATTCCGCTTTGTTTGCAGGAGTGCACAAGCACTGATGAAACAAAACGCAAATTCGACACATTACTCAATAACCCCAACCCGAGCTCGGAGAGATACCTCTGCTCTGAATGAGAGCCATCGCCCGTAACGTCACCTATGTTTTACTTTTAAGGCCACAGTGATGTTGACGGATATATGTGCGCGTGTGTGTGTTCATGTTGAACTTCCTTCGTGCCGTACGTAGCCAAGCGTGCTAATCGGAGGCTGCGTCGAAAGATGGACTTGATACTCAGGTGGCTGGGTCGGTGAGTATGGCACAGACATTTGTTGTTGTTGTTGCACACATATATACTGCAGAGACGACTTGATGAAGCGGTGTGCTTTCTACCGATCGACGGTCTAAAATCGATGTTTTAAAAAGGGATAGAATGCCGAAATCCCCTTCAAACGGAGTCCAGCCGATGCTTAATGACCATGCCAACAACAACAATTATAATTTACACACCCATTCTCAATCTACTGCTGGATGAAGGCCGTGTCATGTCGTGGCTGTCATCAGGCGGATAGGGGTTTGGGGGAGAGGGCGGGGGGCTTGTTCAACCATACTTCACCACACTATTGGATTGGCACATCGAGTGTTCGCCATAGTCGCCAACTCAGATTTCGGCTGTTGTTCGTAGCGCAGTCGCGCTAACCACTGCGCTCACCGCTCCCCAATTCACCCACCGCTCCCCCACTCGCCTACCGCTCCCCCACTCGCCCACCGCTCCCCCACTCGCCCACCGCTCCCCACTCGCCCACCGCTCCCCCACTCGCCCACCGCTCCCCACTCGCCCACCGCTCCCCACTCGCCCACCGCTCCCCCACTCGCCCACCGCTCCCCCACTCGCCCACCGCTCCCCCACTCGCCCACCGCTCCCCCACTCGCCCACCGCTCCCCCACTCGCCCACCGCTCCCCACTCGCCCACCGCTCCCCCACTCGCCCACCGCTCCCCCACTCGCCCACCGCTCCCCCACTCGCCCACCGCTCCCCCACTCGCACCCCGCTCCCCCACCGCTCCCCCACTCGCACACCGCTCCCCCACTCGCCCACCGCTCCCCACTCGCCCACCGCTCCCCCACTCGCCCACCGCTCCCCACTCGCCCACCGCTCCCCCACTCACCCACCGCTCCCCCAATCGCCCACCGCTCCCCCACTCGCCCACCGCTCCCCACTCGCCCACCGCTCCCCCACTCGCACCACCGCTCCCCACCGCCCCCACTCGCCCACCGCTCCCCCACTCGCACACCGCTCCCCCAATCGCCCACCGCTCCCCCACTCGCACACCGCTCCCCACTCGCCCACGCTCCCCCACTCGCCCACCGCTCCCCCACTCGCCCACCGCTCCCCACTCACCCCACCGCTCCCCCATCGCCCACCGCTCCCCACTCACCCACCGCTCCCCCAATCGCCCACGCTCCCCCACTCGCACACCGCTCCCCCACCGCTCCCCACTCGCCCACCGCTCCCCCACTCGCACACCGCTCCCCCACCGCTCCCCCACTCGCCCACCGCTCCCCCACTCGCACACCGCTCCCCCACCCGCTCCCCCACTCGCCCACCGCTCCCCCACTCGCCCACCGCTCCCCCACTCACCCACCGCTCCCCCAATCGCCCACCGCTCCCCCACTCGCCCACCGCTCCCCCACTCGCACACCGCTCCCCCACCGCTCCCCCACTCGCCCACCGCTCCCCCACTCGCACACCGCTCCCCCACCGCTCCCCACTCGCCCACCGCTCCCCACTCGCCCACCGCTCCCCCACTCACCCACCGCTCCCCCACCGCTCCCCCACTCACCCACCGCTCCCCCACTCGCCCACCGCTCCCCCACTCGCACACCGCTCCCCCACCGCTCCCCCACTCGCCCACCGCTCCCCCACTCGCACACCGCTCCCCCACCGCTCCCCCACTCGCCCACCGCTCCCCCACTCGCCCACCGCTCCCCACTCACCCACCGCTCCCCCACCGCTCCCCCACTCACCCACCGCTCCCCCAATCGCCCACCGCTCCCCCACTCACCCACCGCTCCCCCACCGCTCCCCCACTCGCCCACCGCTCCTCCAATCGCCCACCGCTCCCCCACCGCTCCCCCACTCGCCCACCGCTCCCCCACCGCTCCCCCACTCACCCACCGCTCCCCCAATCGCCCACCGCTCCCCCACTCCCCCCCCGCTCCCCCACCGCTCCCCCACTCGCCCACCGCTCCCCCACTCGCACACCGCTCCCCCACCGCTCCCCCACTCGCCCACCGCTCCCCCACTCGCAACACCGCTCCCCCACCGCTCCCCCACTCGCCCACCGCTCCCCCACTCGCCCACCGCTCCCCACTCGCCCACCGCTCCCCCACTCACCCACCGCTCCCCCACTCGCCCACCGCTCCCCCACTCGCACACCGCTCCCCCACTCGCCCACCGCTCCCCCACTCGCACACCGCTCCCCCACTCGCCCACCGCTCCCCCACTCGCACACCGCTCCCCCACCGCTCCCCCACTCGCACACCGCTCCCCCACTCGCCCACCGCTCCCCCACTCGCACACCGCTCCCCCAATCGCCCACCGCTCCCCCACTCGCACACCGCTCCCCCAATCGCCCACCGCTCCCCACTCGCACACCGCTCCCCCCAATCGCCCACCGCTCCCCCACTCGCACACCGCTCCCCCACCGCTCCCCCACTCGCCCACCGCTCCCCCACTCGCACACCGCTCCCCCACTCGCCCACCGCTCCTCCACTCGCCCACCGCTCCCCCAATCGCACACCGCTCCCCCACTCCCCCACCGCTCCCCCCACTCGCCCACCGCTCCCCCACTCGCCCACCGCTCCCCCACTCGCCCACCGCTCCCCCACTCGCACACCGCTCCCCCAATCGCCCACCGCTCCCCCACTCGCACACCGCTCCCCCACCGCTCCCCCACTCGCCCACCGCCCCCCCACTCGCACACCGCTCCCCCACTCGCCCACCGCTCCTCCACTCGCCCACCGCTCCTCCACTCGCCCACCGCTCCTCCACTCGCCCACCGCTCCTCCACTCGCCCACCGCTCCCCCAATCGCCCACCGCTCCCCCACTCGCACACCGCTCCCCCACTCGCACACCGCTCCCCCACCGCTCCCCCACTCGCACACCGCTCCCCCACTCGCACACCGCTCCCCCACTCGCACACCGCTCCCCCACCGCTCCCCCACTCGCCCACCGCTCCCCCACCGCTCCCCCACTCGCACACCGCTCCCCCACTCGCCCACCGCTCCCCCACTCGCACACCGCTCCCCCACCGCTCCCCCACTCGCCCACCGCTCCCCCACTCGCACACCGCTCCCCCACCGCTCCCCCACTCGCCCACCGCTCCCCCACTCGCACACCGCTCCCCCACCGCTCCCCCACTCGCCCACCGCTCCCCCACTCGCTCACCGCTCCCACACCGCTCCACCCCTCGCCCACCGCCCCCCCTCTCGCACACCGCTCCCCCACCGCTCCCCCACTCGCCCACCGCTCCCCCACTCGCACACCGCTCCCCCACTCACCCACCGCTCCCCCACTCGCACACCGCTCCCCTACTCGCACACCGCTCCCCCACTCGCCCACCGCTCCCCCACTCACCCACCGCACCTAGCTCCTCCCCCCCCCTCCCGATGTCTCCGCTTGTGGTTTAGAAACAAACCGCGCTGGTTCCGGACTGGACAGGTTCCCGCTTCACGGCTCTCGAAAGCCGCCGAAAACACCACCACCACCAACCAACCACCAGCACCAACCACCACCAACCAACCACCAGCACCAACCACCACCAACCACCACTACCACCAACCACCACCACAACCAACCACCACCAACACCAACCACCACCACCAACCACCACCAACCAACCACCAACCACCACCAACCACCACCACCAACCAACCACCAGCACCAACCACCACCAACCACCAACAACCAACCAGCAACCAACCAACCACCACTAACCACCACCAACCACCACCAACCACCATCACCACCAACCACCACCAACCACCAACAACCAACCACCAACCAACCAACCACCACTAACCACCACCAACCACCACCAGCACCACCACCACCAGCAGCATCACCAGCAGCACCACCAGCACCACCACCAGCACCACCACCAGCACCACCACCACCAGCAGCACCATCACCACCAGCACCACCAGCACCAGCACCACCACCACCACCAGCACCACCAGCAGCAGCACCACCACCAGCACCACCACCAGCCCCACCAGCACCAGCACCAGCAGCCACAGCAGCAGCAGCAGCAAATCGCCGAGGAGCAATCGATGCCAATGTGAAGGCGTGCTGCTCGCCGCCACGAGAGAGGGATGCAGGAGAGAGAGAGAGGGGGGAGAGTTCGTGACGTGTTCCTGTTGCTCCTGCAACTCTTCATGGAGAGTGAACCGAGTGATTCGCTGCCCGCTGAGTGTGTGACGCTACATCCGAGAGAGAGAGCGAGCCAAGCCTGGACGCCAACCAATTGACACCCCACTCGCAAAAAAGACAAAGATCCCCCGTATAGCCTGTAACAGACTGTTGGGGCAAGTGCTGTTTCAGCGAGCACCTATGAAGGCCGGCACGGCACACGATGGGGTGAGTGGCCAACACCACGCCCGACCGCCCGGGTACTCACTTGAGGCTGAGTCGACCTAGGGGAGGCCCAGGACTGTTTCAGATATCCGTGACTGGTGTTAAGAGGCCGTCCATAAATGACGTCACGCGATTTTGGACGGTTTTTTACCCCTCCCCCCTTCGTCACACGGCGTCACAAAAAGTCAGACCCCCCCCCCTCAAATATGACGTCACAATGCTTTGCCCCCCCCCCCCCAAAAAAAACATGCTTCAAATCGCTTTAAACTATTGTCAATGTAGTGCGTATTTAATGTGGCGCTGCACTCTGATGTTATAGGAAAAAACATTAAAAAGTAAATTTAATTAAGTAGAACGTGTTGTCTATATTAATTTAAAGTTGCGCAATTTGACGTGACGTCCCCTCGTCACACATCGCTACAAATGTCTGACACCCCCCCACCCACCCCACTAGGTGCGTGACGTCATTTATGGACGGGCCCCTAACCGCGAGCGAGAATCGCACTCGGGTCGCCGGGTTCATGGCGCATCGCTCCCGCTCGGACGCACGCACCCTATTGACAAACACTGAACTCGACGAATCCCGAATGAACCGCGGTGACCTGGACACGCAGTCCAACTGCGTGTCACGGCGACCCCACAGGCAGCAGCGTGAGCGCGCCGCGTTCTCAACCTCGCCCCGGGCGATCAGAGAGGGGGGGAGGGACTCAAACTCACTCGGAATCACAGCCCAGGCACTTGGCACCTCGCTCGCGCATTGTGGGTTCATTGAGCCAGAACGCCTTGCAGCCCAGCACGGGATTCCAATCCCAGATCGTGCTCGACCGTTGTTCCCTTCCACTCTCTCCTGCCTCGTCTCCACGCACTCTCCTACCTCTCCCCTCTCGTCTCACTCCACTCCCCTCCACGCACTCTCCTACCTCTCCCCTCTCGTCTCACTCCACTCCCCTCCACGCACTCTCCTGCCTCTGCCCTCTCGTCTCACTCTACTCCCCTCCACGCACTCTCCTGCCTCTCCCCTCTCATCTCACTCTACTCCCCTCCACGCACTCTCCTGCCTCTCCCCTCTCATCTCACTCTACTCCCCTCCACGCACTCTCCTACCTCTCCCCTCTCATCTCACTCCCCTCCACGCACTCTACTGCCTCTCCCCTCTCATCTCACTCTACTCCCCTCCACGCTCTCTCCTACCTCTCCCCTCTCATCTCACTCCTCTCCACGCACTCTACTGCCTCTCCCCTCTCACCTCACTCTACTCCCCTCCACGCTCTCTCCTACCTCTCCCCTCTCATCTCACTCCCCTCCACGCACTCTCCTGCCTCTCCCCTCTCATCTCACTCCACTCCACGCACTCTCCTACCTCTATCCTCTCACCTCACTCTCCTTCACGCACTCTCCTACCTCTCCCCTCTCATCTCACTCCCCTCCACGCACTCTCCTGCCTCTCCCCTCTCATCTCACTCCCCTCCACGCACTCTCCTGCCTCTCCCCTCTCATCTCACTCCCCTCCACGCACTCTCCTACCTCTCTCATCTCACTCTACTCACCTCCACGCACTCTCCTACCTCTCCACTCTCGTCTCGCTCTACTTCCCTCACCTCACTCTGCTCCCCTCCAAGCGTTCTATCACCCCCCCCCCAACGACAAAGCTCCCCCGTATAGCTCTGCTCGTGCTGTAGGTGCAAGTGATGTGAGCGAGCAGCACCTATGAAGGCCGGCACGATACACGTGCAGGTGCGTGCCCAGCAGCCAGGCCCTCTGTCAGAGGTCGCAAACGGGTTTTGATTCCTTACCCGTACCCGTACCCGGCCGCACCAGGGTCGCAAATGGGTACCCGTACCCGGCCGGGGACGGGTACGGGTACCCGGCCGGGGACGGGTACCCGTTCCCTACCCGTACCCTACCCGTACCCGTACCCTACCTGAAATGAGTGACAAACAGTTACTCACCAGTGACTCACGGCCTATCCGTACCCGTACCCGGCCGCACCAGGGTCGCAAACGGGTACCCGTACCCGTACCTGGCCGGGTAGCCGGGTATCGGGTAGGGTTCGGGTATCGGGTACCCGGTTGCGACCTCTGCCCTCTGTCGAAGGCCGCACTCAGCTCCCGCTCAGCGCGCGGTGTTGCTACTGCAGCGGTCCCCTTCGTTGTGTTGTCTGAGCTGCTCCGAAACAAGTTCAGGCTCAAGGACGCCCTCCTCCTCCTCTCCGTCACCTATGGCCACCTGTGATGAGCGCGGTTGGCTACGAACGGTATAAGGAGTTCAACGTACGTCCGTGCGTACGACACTTCTCTGTGAAGAAAACTGCATTAAACAATTTACCTACGATAACAATGACTGTTACGTGCCTATTTAATCCAGGTGAGACACACCGGGTCGGAGGAATCGTTCAGGAGGTCCCGGACGTTTTCAGCCGATTAATAATGAGCTGTGTTTATTATAAAACCGGGGGAGCAAACCTGGAGCAACCGGAATAAACCCACGCCTTGCACTGGGGGGGCAAGCTTCTATCCCCGTACAGACGGAAACAGATGGCGATTAGTTCACTTGCTGCACCGCCTGCTCATGGCGAGCCAGGAGTACGGCACAACCTCGACGGGCCCCCGATGAAACGGTGAACGTCCTGTGCCGAACGCCACTCCATGTTCCCTTGCTCCGGTTGTCGAGCAATGGATGGCGACGGCGTGGGCAGGGGGGGGCTTCATCCAGCAGTGGATACAACAATGCTGGTGGTGATGATGATGATGATGTTGGCGTGTACGCTGCTGCGGGAGGAAATTGCATTGAGACGTTGCTATACGTTGAAATTTTTTATTTATTTTTTCTTGATTTGAAGCTTTCGTGACTGCAGGAATCCTTACTGTTTTTGGTTCTATCGGTAAAGTCACGTGGGTAGAAAATTAATAGATCACGACGGTTTGATCGCAACACAAGCAACCGTCATCAGGTGAAACAAACACAGCAGGAGAACTGCTGACGTCAGCAGTTATCCTATTAATTAATTCTAGATTTGAAGCTTTCGTGACTGCAAGGATTCATACTCTTAGTTCTTTCGGTAAAGTCACATAGGTAAAAAATGAAATAAAAATTAATAAAAATAAAACAATAAAATCACGACGTTTCGGAGGCAACACAAGTCTCCGTCATCAGGTGGGACCGTCACAGCCAGATTTGATTCGGCAAATCATTTTTAACCTACGTGACTTTACCGAAATAACTAAGAGTATGAATCCTATTAATTAATTTTTATATATTTGTGACTTTCCCGAAGGTACGAAAGAGTCAAAAGTTATTTATTGTTTTGATTTACTACTGCGGTTATAGCATGCCGTGTGTATGCTTGCACACGCACGGCATCTACTGCTGGATGAAGGCCTCCCCACGCCCTGGTGTTCGGTATGAAAGGTGGTTCAGGGTTACTTGACCATTATTCACCGTGCTTCATATTCTTAGGTTTTTTCGGTAAAGTCACGTAGGTAAAAAAAAAAATTTGAATTAATAAAAGTAAAATAAAATGAAAAAATAATAAAAATCACGACGTTTCGGAGGCAACACAAGCTTCGTCGTGATTTTATTTCATTTTTATTTTATTTTACTTTTATTAATTTTAATTTTAATTTTTTTACCTACGTGACTTTACCGAAAAAACCTAAGAATATGAATCCTTGCAGTCACGAAAGCTTCAAATCTAGAATTACCGTGCTTGTCACAGCCGGTTGGCAAGGGGGGCGAGGGGGGCGAGGGGGCAAGACCGGTTCGGATATTATTCGCCACTGGAGTTTTGTTGGGAATCGAACTTAGGATCCCCGATTTCATAGTCCATTGAGCTCACCACCCCGCCATCGCTCCACCTCTGTTTCCGAAACTCAGTACAATGCAAATTTATAGCCGATGTTGTCTAGGAATAATAATTATTATTATTTCAATCACAAACGGGGGGGGGGGGGTGTAGCGGTTAACGCGTTGCGCTCCAAACATAGCAACACGAGTTTGATTTCTGCTCACGGCCATGGGCCTCCCCTACGTCGACTCAGCCTAAAATTAGTACCCAGTGTGGTGTGTAAAACATCGCCACTGGGAAGACAAAGGTGGTAGAGCGTGGTGTTGGCCACCT